TGGCCTCGAACTCACAGAGAACTACCTGCCTCTGCCTCCCGAGTACTGGGATTAAAGGTGTGGGCCACCACTGACAGGCTAACATGAAATATTTCCTGTGTGTGCTGTAACTATTTTTTAAATCTGTGAATGAAAAGATTTTATTAAATTTATTTTTCTGTTCAGTGTGTGTGTTTATTTAGTGTACGTACATGCATACATATGTGCTGTGATGTGTTAGTGCATGTCAGAAGACAACCTGGAGAGTTCAGGTCTCTCCTTCTACCATGTGGGTCCAGGAAATTGAATTCAGGTTGTCAGGCTACAGGAGGCCTCAGTCTGTGAATTTTCTGTGATATTCTTAGTAAACAGAACTCATTCTTTCTTTAATGTCTTCTAATTTTTATTTTGCATGTTTTTTTCTCTTTGAATTTTATAACCAATAGTTTTTCTTTCAGGTCGTCATCTTCTGTCACTGTTCTCTCTCCATTGATTCTTTAGATATGTCATTTTATTTTTTCCAGGTCCCTCCACAACCACCTATTTTAAGTATTCAATATTTTTAGTGTTTTCTCTTCTTTTAATATTTTCAACTGTGGGAACACCAGACCTTGAGCAGAGACCCACTTCCCCTTCTGCCTGGGAGTAGGCAGCTGTAAGACAATGTTTAGTAAAAACATGTTTACTAAAAACGATACAATAGGTTCCTGGAAAAGGCCTTCCCATGGAAACCGCCCTGACCTCGACCTTGTCAAAAGACTTACCGCACCTTCAAATCCACACACATCCACCTCTGGTGTCAGAGCAGAACCAGCCAGGGTAAAGGAGAGAGCAGAAGCTTCTCTGGTGGGAGCCTTTCTTAGGAAGTTTTCTTGAACCTTTTTGGAGCCTGTTTAAAGTTTTCTTTATATCGTTGAGCGAGTCTCTGTGTTGTCAATCCCCGACACCCTCCGCACGTGCAGCAGATGTGACATTCAACATCTCTTTCAGCTGTTTGATTTTTTTTTTTTGCATCTCACATTTAATAAAATTTTAGGACACTATTTTCATTTGGTAACACTACTGCCTTTTCTAATGATTGTCCAATTTTCTGTGTTTATGATTTTAGACAAGTTTATAATTCTTAAAACTTTTCCTGGAAGAACTGGTCCATGGTGACTTGCTGCAGATTTCTGTCCCTTGTCTGTGGGCAACTGTGATGTTAATCCCATTGCCGATTTGCTGAGATTCAGGATGAGTTGGAGATGGGCCCATAGGCCTTCTAGGAGATTATGTTGATGAGGCTAATTGAGGTGGGACTGTCTGTCCACTGTGGGTGGCTCCTTTCCTAGGGCTGGAGTGCAGCTGTATAAAGAAAAAAAAAGCCAAGCTGAGCACACATGGGTTCATCACTCTCTTCCTCCCAACTCTAGGTGTAGACTAGATGCCACAGGGCCTCACTTCCTTGACTTCTCAGTCATGGTAGACTGTATCATTACACTGTGAGCCAAAATAAATAGAAATTTTATTTCTGTTGACGTATATATCATAGCAAAAGGAGAAGAACCTAAGACAATGTCTAAATCCAACAACTGTTTTGAAAAAAATGAAAATAGTAACTTTCAAATTCTGTGTTTTGGTGTCTTATATATTGAGACTTCTTTTAATCATTTTCTTCCTTAAGAAGCTTACCAAGTCTCATGGCTCTAGCCACTATCTGTGGTGTTGTATAGATAGCTCATCTCTAAAACATGATTGAAAAAAAGATTTAAACAATTCCCCCTTTGTGTCTGTGGTCTCCCTCCTTCCTGCTGCATACACCTCCCAAAACATGTTGAACACTTCTTATTTCAAGTCCACCACGTCTGAGGATTTTTAAGTTTTAGGTGTCGTAATTGATTGACAATTCGCTGGAATTTGGGGCCATGAGAACCACAGATATCTCAGCAAGGTTCCGGAAGCAAACATATGCTTGGGGAAGGCAGTGGCTTGCATGAAGTTATATAGTTGCTGCATTAAAGAAGAGAGGTTCAATATTGTCTCAAACCATGCCATAAAATCCCGTGGTCACTTTTGAGCCTCTACCATATCTGTCTGACTGTTTGCCATCTCTTATCCTGAAAGTGTTCTTTGTGTTTTGATTGATATCCAGAAGACAAAGATGATCTATTTTTCAAGTAGTTGTAATGATTGCTCCTTCTTTATCCATAATGAAATGTTTTTTTAAAATTCTGATTCTGTGGAAGATGAGACCCTCATGCACCCAGTGCTTAGATGCTATTGGTAGTCCACCCATGAATCCCCTTTTAATGATCTCTAATGCCATACTTGAAGTTACATTCACATGATAATGTCTACTTATCTCCGGTTCACAACTCTTTCCCAGTCCTCATATTTGCCCAGCTTGCTGCCCCCCTACCCCCCAGCTCATCTTCATGCTACACAGGAAGCTTCACAACCTCACTGCCCTCCACCCTAAACTTACATCTCCCACAGTCTTCCAGCTTCAGTTTACAGGCCAACTGCTGCCAGTTGGTAGCTCAAACAGCCACACACACCTGTTTATTCCTCACTCCGGCTGTTTTGCTCCCATCTGTCAAGTTTCATTTGTCCCACCTTCCAAGAGATCGCAAACCAGATCACGCCTCACCTTCTTCACAGCCACTGCCCAGTCTGTCTCTGGATTGTTGTAGTGGTGTTAAGAGAAGCTTTTTTCTTTGAGAGAAGGCCTTCCCGCCCAGCCTGGTTCTAGTGCCGCATCAGTCCCAAATAAACACACAGGAGGCTATATTAATTATGAAGCTGTTGGCCTTTCTTGTTTCTTACTGGCTAGCTCTGACTTAAGTAATTACCCCATAATTGTTAATCTAAGTATGTCTCTTACCGGAGAATAGTTCCGGGCTTCCTACCCCATGGCGTCACATGTCGACTCTCTTGTGTTTTTCCTTCCCAGAGTTCTCCTGGACTCCCAGTCCCTCCCATCTAGATTCTCTATAGGCCAGACAGTGCTTTATTGACATAAGACTTCCCCACATAGTGGTCTGTTCAGCCGTCTTGCAATCTGAAGCACGTGGTAGGCAGAGGGAATCACTTTTTTTCTCAAAAGGTCCATTGGCTTCTATTAAGAAAAAAAAAAGTACATAAGCCCCATTGTGCTGGGATAAGAAGTAAATGGACCTCTTCTGCATCTTTTCTGTCAGCGTCTCTGCATTTCCTTGCATCTCATCAGAGCATTTTGCATTGCTGGTGACAGACCTTCGTGAGCTTTGCCCGCCCCTCTTCTGAGATCTTGGCCTGGCTTACTTCATTGTTTCCTTTTTTATCCTCATACCTGCTTCCTTCTAGTCAATATGTCCTTTCTGCTGTTTCCTTTTTTTATTTTTGACCACTTGGCACCATGCAGTGACTACATGTTTTATGTGATTTGACGTTTAATTGTTCATCTTTATCACAAGAATGTAAGCCGATCAAACGGAAGGACAATGCGTCTCCCCTCTTACCTATTTCATTTCAGTTCCTAGATGAAGACACAGCAGGGGTACAATGACTTATAAATACATAATTTACTAAAATCAGTGTTGAATATATCACCAGTTCTCACAGCAATGCTAATAACACTTCTCAGGTACCAGGGAAGGGTACAGGTCATTAAAGACAACACCATTAGGGGTTTCCTCCAGTGTGAACACAGTTGAAGCCCAAATCTAAGCTGTGACAGCTTTACGAGACCCACATCATTCTTCCACACAGAGGCTGAGATAGCATCTCCATTTCCAGTCTGCCATGTACTTGGTAAATTCTGGCTGAGGGTAAAGTCTAGGTATAGCTCCCTTCAGCCGTAGACTTACTAAATGAAAAACAGGAAGAGCTCAGTGTGGAAATGGGAATCATAATGGTCACATCCTTAAGGTGGATTTATAGTCAGTGTTACAAACTGGGGGTAAGGCTGGGAAGATGACTCAGAGCCTGTCTTAGTAATAAGGTAGAGAGTGAGCAAAGACAATCATTGCCAACCTCTGACTTTCACATATGCATATCTAGGTGAGCGGGGCTATACGCACACACACGCGCACACACACACACACACACCAGGGAGAACAAAGAAGGTTAAAAACATTTCCATAGCTAATTGTAACATCACACTAAGACGGCCTGAATCGGGAACATGCCCCTGATTCCCATCACCTCTCGTCTGCTTTCCTCTTTTCTACCCCAGAAGCAGACTGGATCTGATTACTTTCTAGTGCTGTGGCAAACACCATAACCAAAGGCAACTTTGGAAGAAAGCATTTATGTGGCTTATACATCCTGAGCATAGTCCATCTTATAGGGAAGCCTGGTCGGAAAAGAAGCCGGAACCTAGATGCAGGGACCATGGGGGGAGGGGTCACCGCTTACGGGCTTGCTCCCTGTGGCTTGCTCAGGCTCATTTTCTAGATGACCCAGGACCACCTTGCCCGTGGGTGGTACTGTGTGTATGGGATGAGCCCATCAATATCAATCATTAATTTTAAAAATCGCCCCCACAGACTTGTCTATAGACCAACCTTATAGACTCTTTATCTCAACAGAAGTTCTCTCTTTCCAAGTGATCTTGGCTGAGTCAAGTTGACAAAGAAAAAAAAAACCAGCCAGCACATCAGTTGACATTGAATTATACTTTTCTTTATAAAGCAAAGCCTCTTCTAAAAACATTTTTTGCTCCCAGGCGCCATGAAGTTCCTTAAAAGCATGCATTATCATTCTCTATTGCTTGGAGAGAGACACAGGTAAAGTGTCTCTTTTGCTAAAACCAAGTGTACTTTCCCCCAGGGAACCATGCCCAGTTAATTATCATTATTTCTTCTCTCTACTTCTCTCTGATGTTGTACCTTTTATTCCAGACCCTTGAAAGAAAATGGGGCCATTCCTGATTTGGTTCAGGCTTTGCAAACCAAGCAAGGGCATCTAGGGTATCGATAACAAGCCCTCATCAATCACAAGTTCCCACTCCGGTGTGGAGTCATTATTAGGCACTAAGTTTCTCTATCTTTCCCAAACAGCTGCACCCTGCATTGAAAAGCCAACTCCGACACCACACACCAATGGGAGAGAGACTCCAAACTCACATTCACCGTGCCTTCTTGGAAATGCCGCCGCTGCTGTTTGCTTTCTTTGGTGACACATCTTCAGAAATGCACAGGAAAGTAGAGAGTGACCTGAGTTGACAGATCAGCGCAATGGTAAGAGGGGGATCTTTCCCGGGATGCCTTTGGATGCTCTGCCCACATGCTGTGAGCCAGGAGCTGCAGAGCATGTGCCCTGGTGTGAATGCAGGATGTCCCCGTCCATCAGCTCATGCTTGAATGGTTGGCTCCCCAACTGGTGGTACTGTGGGGAACAGAGTGTTCAGGGGTAGAGGAAGTGAGCCAATGGGAGGTGGGGCTTGCGGCTTACATCCAGCCCTCCTTCCTGTCTCCTGCTTGCTTGCTGAATGCCCATGCAATAGGAGCCCTACCGCCATTCCTTCTCTGTTGTGATAGACTATCTTCCCTCCAACTCTGAACTGCAAGCTCCAAGCAGTCCTTTTTTTATTTATTTATTTATCTTTAAGTTGATTTTTGTCAGCTGTTTTGTAGTGATGGTGAAAGAAGATGATACAGCATGTTACTTAACTTTCTGGAATCTCTGCACTCAGATTCGGAATATGCTCACCGTCTGCCCTGAAGTTATCAGTCATGATGGTCACTTCCTTCTTTTTACATCACAGAAAAGTGAGAATTCAGTGACACAAATGACTAGACAGGGAATCAGTCTTTTGGTCTCTGCTTTCAGGTAACATTGTATCTTATTGGAGATAGGTTCTCTTCTCTTCTCTCTCTCTCTCTCTCTCTCTCTCTGTGTGTGTGTGTGTGTGTGGGTGTGGGTGTGGGTGTATGTGTGCAAATGTGGATGTCAGACGTCAGAAATTCTTCAATTTCTTTCTACCTTAATTTTTAGGACACACGGTCTCTCATTGAACCTGGAGTTCACTGATTGGCTAGCTAGGGTCTATGAAGATCCACCCATCCCTGCCACCTGTCCAGTGCCAGGGCTACAGATGCCATCACCATGCTGAGCTTTTGTGTGGGTCTTGGTAACCTTCTCACTCATATCCTTGGGCTTACGTGGCAAGCACTACTGACTAAACCATTGCTCCAGACCCCCGTATGTTCGAGTACAAAACAGACCAGGTTAGCATTCTGTCTGTGTGCCGATGGCTCTCCCCATTTGTTTTGCCTTCCTTGGAAAAACAAATGATGAAAGGATTTGTTGCTTAGAAGTGACAAATGAACTGTCAGGTATTTCAAGTAGCAAGCTGCCATGCGCCATGCCCCACAAATATCCATACGAAAATAGAGCAGCAAGTTTCAGAGAGACTCAAGCCTCAGATACAGGCCCTACTGCACTCTTAAGTGACATCATGAGTCATCTATTAAAATATATTGGAGGTACAGTTACTCCAGGGAGAATGCAGCAGAGGAAGATGCATTTTGAATACTGCTGACTCAGTAAATGTAAACTGCATTAGGAAGTGAAATATGGAGTCTGGGGGCTGAGTGCATTTAGAGACCACGGATGCTGGATGGGTGGCTATGTGGGTGGCAGCCCTGGTATCATAAAATCTATGATTCCTCCCTTTTATGTATAAAAGATCAACCTTTAGCAGCCTTTATTTCTTTTACGTGGTATGTTTTGTCTGCATGCATGTGTACCATGTGTATGTGGTCCTCTCGAAGGCCACAAGAAAGCATCTGTTCCCCTGGAACTGGAGTTACAGGCAGTGGTAAGCAGCCATGTGAGTACTAAGAACCAAATCCGCGTTCTGGGCAAGAGCATCCAGTGGCCTCAACCACTGAACCATCTCTCCGGCCCCAATGAGAAAGAATCTTATGATGTCAGTTACCCATTGGCTGCTTACAATTTGGACCCCAAAGTGGCATTTAATTAGTACAGGGAGAACTTTCGGAAGGGTTTCCTTCTCAGTTCTCAGGAGATCTATGTAGGGTACGCCAGTCACTGAGGGTGTGTTTGCAAAGGGGACTGGCTTCTTCCTTGCCCTCCATGGCCCCGCCCCGCCCCCAACTTACCACACTCAGTCAAAACCTTGTAATAGCTCTGCCTCCAGGTAAAGGCTATCTGGCCAAGCTCTCAATCTTAATTTTTTTGTCTCAGTGTCTGAGTCCTCGTCTCCTTGCCTTTGTGTCTCATCCCAGGCATCAGCATCAGTCCCACTCATGCTTCTGGAACTTCTTAAGTTTCTGTATCCCACGTACTCTTGGATTGATGGTGCTTTCTTGTGCTGTGACACTGTGGTACAGGTTGTCTTGTTTCGTTTGGAAATTAAGAGCAAAATCCCTTCCGTCTCTTCACTAGATCCGTTCATCCAGGCTCAGTGGTGCTCCTGTAGCCTCATTGTGTTCCTTATTGGAAGCCATTTTCCTATGGGGCTCAGGGTAATGCAGCCATTTCTTACCTTCCCTAGCCCATCACCTCCGTCTACGGAGAAAGAAATCCGTGTTCACTCCCTAAACTGTTGCAGGCGTCACCTGTACCTTCTAGAGGAAGAGCGGTTTTTACCATGCACGGCAGAACCCTATACACTTGCCATCGCCTCTCTCAAAGAAGCCCTTGCAGTGAGCACCAGTCAGTGTTTCATTCCTTATGTGGCTGATGAGATGCCATCACCAGTAGCTCCACACTCATTGGAGGGAAGACGTTCTCCATAGCATAATCTGAAAATACTAGAGTCATAGGCATGCACGTCTTACTTTTCTAATGCTCTTTGCATTCTGATCCAGAGTAGCAGCTGGGATGACTTCATAATACAATATCATATAATTACGTGATCATATCTAACCACCCCCGCCCCCCCCTCGCAAAGTTCTTCAGTGTCTTTGCTGACTAAATGGATTGCCTTAGTCTCAGGGGTCATTTAGATGCAATCTTCCATTTCAGGGGGAATAGGATAGTTTGATGACATACTTCTGAGCCAGTGGAGGAAACCTTTAGGAAGCCAACAGGTATGAGCACAGACTACGTTATACTCATCGCCACTGTAGGCTACTGAGGTCATTTCCTCATGAAACGTTAATCAAGTAAGAGGATTAGTGTTACTTCACATGGCACTCCTTATAGCTCTAAAGAGCCCCCAGCAGAACACACTTCTCTTCTGTCCATGCTCTTGAGTCAGCTAAGAAGAAAACCAAGGGATGAGCAACTGTGAGAACAGCATTTGCCTATTATTACCAACCTATCTTATGCTGGGAAAAGAGATCGTGCCCAAGATGATGATGTACTGACCTCAACATTCCCATGTTGGAGTGGTTTATGGAGTCACAGGAAGGGCTGTAACTGCATAAACACCTCCCCACAGGTAAGAGATGGACCACCAAGTGGTTTGCATGGAGGAACCAGGAAGAAAATCCTAGGCCTGGTGCTTGACAATTACACTTGTGAAGTTGGGGGGCAGGGTGGTTCAGGGAACTGAGCCACTTTGCTTTTTTCAAGATGGGCCACCAGATGGAGCCACACCCCCTGTACTGGTCCAGTTTCATGTGACAGTTCAAAGAATGTTTGATGACCATGGGTATCACAAGGTAGACGTCATTAACATGGACTGGAATAGTAGACCTGGAGACTTGCCTCTTCGACTCTTGCTGGATATACATAGCAGAATGAAAAGAATAAAAAAAATATGATTTGGGGTACTTCTTTGAAAACAACTTAGTTCTTCAACCTCCCTAGTTACTGGCACTGTAATCTAGCTAGTCAATAGCATTTGTGTCTCAATGGCACAAGCTGTAAATGAAATTAAGAGAATAGGACTAAGAATGAAGGGAGAAGGAATGTACAAGCTTACTCTATAAACCATAAAATTTCTCCTGACAGTTCAGAGTAATATAAAATTCATATCAGATTGTATGTCATTTTCCTGTTGTAGTTTATATTATAAAATATTAAAAAGTTGGCATGTTCTTTTTTAATATATTTGAGAACTTTGAACTAAAGATAGGCAGTTCTTACTTAGCAGGACAGAGGAAAATGCAATGAAATATATTAATCTAAACATGAAATGCAAATAAATGAATTGCTATATTAAAAGATAAAGACAGTCAGCTTACAAGAGAATGAAATCCACCAGTCCTTCGTTTTAAAGAGAAACTTAAAGGATTAGGAGAATATGAACCAGAAGTGTATGCCAGCTTTAAAAAAAGGAAAAAAACATAGTTAGAGAAATAAAGAACTCTATTTTACACAAAGACAGAATAAGTTAAATTGATGCATAAAACTCTTAGCACTTTGTTGAACTACATGTATCTGGGAATAAATGAAGTTTCTTCAAAAGCATTTATCTGCTACTCATGTCTGTATGCTGAGCATTTCCGTATATCACAAACATTTATTTACCCCAAGTGAGCAGCAAGCACACACTCTACATGTTCTTTCCAACTGTCTATTTGATGATATATTCTGATAATCAGTCTAGCACTTGTCTGTATACCTGTCAATCTATAATTTACTAATATCCATCATTTATATATTTACTTACATCTTTTACCTTACATACTAATTTATACACTTACATACCTATTATTGTTTTGTCCCTCTATCTATTGGATATTAACCATAGTCATCTATTAATAACTATAATTTATGTATATACTCATATATTTATCACCTGTATATACATATTTATAAACATATCCACTTTTATAGCTTAATATTTATAGCTCATCTATCTGTTCATTCATCGTCTACTATTTACCTTTCTTCTATCCATCATTAACTACTTACTGTTCATCTATCTATTCATCCATCATCAACTACTTACCTATCTGTTTATCCATCTGTTATCTATCTGTCTGTCTATCTATCTATCTATCTATCTATCTATCTATCTATCTATCATCTTTCACTCATTGGTTTGTGTGCACAGCTGTGGTTATGTATTCAGAGACAAGATGACTTTTATTGTTTGCTATACTGGCTACTGGACCACTTCACCAAGACTTTGTTGTGCCTTGGAACAACAGTAGTCAATCTTGCCATTATTTCCAATGCGGATAAGCTCTGTACAACAGACCATCTTTGTTACCTGTTTTGCAAATTTCCAAGTTGACGTTTTCTCTCAGCTGACAAACCCATACAGCAGTTTGATTGCAGTCCCTCAGAGGGATGCAGGTCAGGAACTTGACTTTCT